CTAATCCTTTATAATGAAAAATTCGAAATTCAAAATTCAACTCCAGTGATAAATTGCCAATAAAATTGTGACATTTTAATCTATTTAATCAAATCGGTTCATGAACCACCCTCATAACGCTGAACACAAAAAGGACATAACAAGAAAGAAATTCCAGTATACTGTAAATGCAATTTCACAAATCCAGGAGCAGTTACTATACTCAAATGATATTATTTAGCTTAAGTGGGGTTGCCAACCACCGTCACTAAAACACCTATGAAAGTCAGAATGTCTTCCCCATCGAGAAATTTTACATGTATACAATCAACAATTGGATTGTTACTTCTATTGTGTTACGTTACATGCCATTCTGTATCTCTATTGGTTAACCCTGATAAATACTAGCCCAAAGTTTGATCTGTTAATCATCAAAATATTAATTGAAAGGTCCTAGGTTTGAAGCGACCTCTTTTACCATGGTAAACATTCAGGAACCCCGGAATAATGCTTAGCTCGCCCCTTCAGCATCGCTCTTACTAATGGAAACTCGAAGACGAGTCATAGAGAGGGAGTGTGTAACCCCGGTAGATACAAGCCGCAGTATACCACTTCCTGGCTTTATCGGTTGAAAGTAAGACTAGTAAGGCAGAGGTCCCGGGTTGTTCGAATTCCAACAGAGTGTAAAATCACAAAAAAAAAAAAAAAAAAGCAAAAAAAAAAAAAACAAAAAAAAAACGGAAGCGTTCTTTTGATGCGCTATTTTCAATTCATGACGTCATGTCATTGTCCATACTATGACATCACAATCGATTTCTGACTAGCACATCCAATAGAAAACAATTCAAGGTATATTACACTGGTGACACAATCGTAGAAACTAATTCAATGGGTAACACACTGATTGTGTGATGAATAATATATAGAGGTATGAAATAAAGTTTGAGTTTCTATTAATTCAGATTTACAAACTAAAAGCATATATCTTGTGATTTCTTTAAAAAAAGCAAACATACGAGGACATGCGTCCAATATTTTGTAACACATTCACGTAAATGTTTGTCTAGAGCCTGAATAATGATAATCTATTTGTCTGTCATTGGTCATATATACTTAATGTTCTCACTCGTAGACTTTTGGGATAGGAGATTACTTAGAATAACTTTGAGCTAAATCTATATACAGATACTAGACACAACTGGCCACCCTCTGAACGGTACTCTGAGCAGTTGATGTCGGCGGTTTGGTTAATAAATCGAAAGGTGTCGACGATATACCATTTCCTTTTTATTTGATTTCGTTATAGTAAACAAACGTTTGTGAAATGGACAAAATAAGCTATTTTGTTGGTGTAATGGATACGTAATCCTTTCTGATGTTTCTATGTAAAACCACGAATCTTAATGGTTACTTAGAGTGCGTAATATTGATCATACTGGAAATCGGTCACTTCTGTCGGAAATTACATGTAACGAATGATATAATCCTGACACATAGGAACCCTATACCTGTTCAACGCTATTGACGCATACGAAACGTGTACACATCACACCCACACGTGTGAAGTCACGTACATCGCAGGTGAGTCAGTTCATTTGAGACCCCTACATTTGGTTTTTGTGGCTAACATAGACGTTAAATCACCACCCTTGTTGTTTATTTCCACGTTGTGTGCTGACCATTATACACCACTATGTAAGCTTTCTCTTAGACAACAATATTTTATGTATTTACAATGAAATTAAAACGACGGCAAAGAAATTTATTTTGAGTAAATGGGTAAACTATCTATATCTTGATGAATTGATGTAATCTTCTGCACTTAGTTACCCGGATGTACTTTTCATTGGTCCATCTTACTTTGTCGCTTACGTCATGTATAATTCAAAATTGTTTACCCATAGACAAATGCTTATAACTGCAACAGTATCACAGACCCTAAAAAGGAAATGGTCGATTATAGATTTTAAAACCGGAAGTGAGTGGGTGAACATAGTAACGCAAAATGATACATTCAAGTGAGTCATCATCTCTATGACCATTATTTTGAGTAATTTTCCCTTCTGAAATTTTCTTCAAATACTTTCACTAACTTGTCAAATAGCTTTAATAACTGAATAATAACAGTCACATTGCTTTACATGATGTGATGAACATATCACGTGACTCCATACATGTTGCTGGTCATTGGTGCTGACGGGATATTGTATTAACTAGGGACGTGTTTTGATAAAATGGTTAAATGATTTCTGTAGTATTAGACTCAAAAGAGTTAAAACTAATACTCATTTAACAAATCTTACGTTACTGGGTATTTTGTTGAGAACGCTGTTGTATGACTAAAAACGGGGTTTGTGGACATAAGCGCGATCAAGCTCTCCGCATTCTGACTTGATTCTGTGTACACTTTTCACTGTAAAATGGCAGAAAGTGTAAAGATTGGTGACAAAATATAAAACTCATGTTTTTCGTAATGATCTTAAGGTCACTGGATGTTCACCATAGATCTATAAATATAGTCAGACCATTTCCGGTCCAGCTTTGGCTGAGTTGTCAGGGACATACAATCTAATAGTGTATGTCGTTGACAGTTTTCTCGTGCTAAATACACATTTCCCAGAAAACTATGATAGGAAATTAGTACATATCTCCCCCTGGCTGTCAGTTACTTGTCCATCCCAACATGCCCCTGGGCAAACCAGAACGAGGCTCCAACTGACAAACTGTATATTAGTGTCTACCCGAAATAAACCGTCGCCTTCTTGTTCACGCATTGGATTAACGGAGTGACATGTTGAGCCAGACATCATAAATTGTGACTGTTGTGGATTTAAGTAACATCTGATTTCGGAATGAAACGAGTAAAAAAGGATTGTATTTTTTGAGTGAAATTATTTTCGAGGTGTGTACAAGGTGAGTTGATAATAAGTCATAGCTGATGTAATTTAATTACTCTAAACTGGCTATGGATATTTTTTTTTTATCTCGGGAAGGTATTGATCAGTATTAAGTAATTATCTAAATGTCAACTAGTTACATATCTATTGTCTATTCTATGTTTCTTTAAATAGCATATAAACAGGGTGGATAATTAAAAGAAAATATTTGTTTCATGAATCAAATCTAGGTGACGTGAAGAATTTTTCTTTCTCCTTTATTGTCATTTTGTTTATTTATTTATTTATTTATCTATTTATTTAATATATATGTATTTATTTTTCTTGTATATAAAATCTCACTTCGTCTGCATATGGACCTAGGAGGCAAGACGGTATCAGTAAAATAAACTCAACAATATGACGTATGTGATGTCGGGTTGTGTAGTTACGTTTTAAGTTGTTTCCACATGAAATATATATGTGATAATTAGTGATTTTTAAAAACATTAATTATACACATATGGCAATTACGTGATAGTTCTCGATGTCATGGCGTCGTGACTTTACGCGAAGAGCGATTTCCGGAAGTTTGTACGGGAGGCAGGCCAGGTGAATTGTGACAGAGATTGATTGGTTCACCAGAATATGACGTCACCATCTATAGGTGTTATATCACTGGTGCGATAAACCAGCTAGATTTCACTTACCGTCTGTACTCACGGTACATCAGGTGATGTAATACGTTTACGTTCAATTCGACTCTCTTGAACATCTCGATATCTTTTTCATATGTTTGCTTTAAATATTTCATTAAATTGAAATGAGATGAAATACATATATCTAATTATAGTTAAACAGTTTTTATCAAGTCCTATGGTGTAATAAGCTAACGAGACCCGTCGCGTGTCATGACGTTGTTCGCTTCCGGCTACAAATGTTACTACTACATCTCCAAGGTATATTTCGGTAACGGCATGAACAAAACCCATACGGCCACTTTGAAAAAAAAGTCTGCCAGACAGAAAGTAGAGATGACGAAATTTCCTAACCACAACGGAAAAAAAGTTTGGTTTTGTTTGGAAAGAAATAGAATGAAAGATTTTGATAAAGTGTTCTAGATCGTATTCCAGATAGCTTCACGGGTACGATGTGTACGGGGAAGCACGGAGCAAGATGGCGCACGTACTTCAGTATACACTTGTTGCTTCATATCAATTAACGGAGAGCAGTGATTAAAGAAATGAAAACAATTTATTCCATCAACAAGTTATAACTTCAGAATTTAACTCGAATCAGAAACGTATTTACACTTTTTTGTCTGTTCTTATTCTGATTATGGAAGTCAACTACCGTTCATCTCTGTGGTTTTTTTTGTCTTGACCCGTTACTGGTAGTTAATTATGAACTTTAAAGAAAATCAATTATGGTTGACTTCACAGTATGATATAAATGAATAACTCTTACCTTTACGCTAAATTCTGACCAGTCAAACCGGATATAACATACTAATGTTTGTATGTTTTAATGCCTCTCAAGTTTACGCCGGTATTAATTGTGTTAACTCCCTTGCTATGACCAGTTTTTACTTTAAAATGTATGTATGTTTTATTTCATCATACAATTTTAGTTATTGTTGTCACAGGTCGTGGTACTTTTAATTTATAGGTATTTTAAGAGATTTGATCTGCCACTGGGTGTCTAATGTGATGTGTTAATCCCACGACTTAGTTTAGAATAAATGGAGAGATATGATCACCCGCCACCGTGTTTTATCATTACCACCGTTATTATATAATACTAGGATCCGATATATAGTAAAGGAAAACTCACAAACAGACGTCTGCAACTACAGAAATCAATGTCGGCGTTGAGTGTGACTGGATTTATCGGATCTGCACCTGATATTACATAGGCCGATACTGACTAAACCCCTCCGGCCCTTTCGCGAGGGTATCGTGGTTTACACAGATTTAATGCAATAAGATAGTGACACAAATAAAACCAATACTGAATATACTGTTCATCAGATAAATATGATAAGTTGTAGTTAAATGAATTAGCAGATATAGAAAAATAGACATTTCAACTTCATACGTGAAAATACGGTTTCATCAAAGGAGTTAATAATTTGTTCTCTTACAGATGTGGTCCAGACGAGGAGTGTTGCTCATCTTCTCCACGATCTTGTCGTTAGGGGTCGCTCTGATCGAGGAGATCCGACTTCCGGATGAGTTTTCGGAATGTCTCGTGCGACACACTGCTAAAAGTAACGCGAGTGCCACAACGTCAGAATCCATTGACAACTTCTGTATCAACCGGCATCGGATGAACCTAGCAAGGCCATATTTAATGCAAGTGAATGTTTCAAAAGACATGACCAGCTGGATTGACGAACTCCTTCGCATGTCATCTGTAGAAAGTTATGAACATAAACAAGCCATGATCAGAAATAAACGTCAAACGATCGGTGTTCCCGCGCTTCGTCCTGATGTTCCAGTGGGTTTTCAAACCGCATCACTGGGGGCTTTTCAGACTGTTCCACAACAGCAAACTCAGCGACAAATTAACCCTTTAGACCAAACATTTCAACAGCAAGGTGTCCCATCCCAAACCTTCCAACCGGAAGGCAGTCTTCAGCAGAACGTTCAAACCATAGAGACTGAACAGCCAATCCCTATCGGAAAAGGTTCCCTAGCAAGTATTGTCTATCAACAGAATGTGCCAACAAATTCTGACACCTCAGGGCAGCAGCCGGTTCCTCCAGCTCCGCAGCAACAAGCACCTACACCACAAACATTTCAGTCACAGCCACAGCCGCAACCACAGCCACAGCCACAGCCACAGCCACAGCCGCAGCCGCAACCACAGCCACAGCCACAGCCCCAGCCCCAGCCACAGCCAGCAAGGGCTCCTCCTGTCGTTAGACCAACTTTGCGCCTACGCAAAGAATATCGCCGACTCACAGAGCAGGAGAGAAACGACTTTCATCGAGCCGTACAGATGTTGAAGGCAGACACAGTAAGTATATTGGATCAGTGTTTCTCGTTCATTACTAGCATCACTTTTAAGAAAAAATGATATCTCAATAACATTTCAAACGTCGCATGAAGCCAAAAGCTCAGAGGACACAACCCTGCGCGTGAGATCATATAACTATTGTCAAAAAAGGCTTCTATACCTTGGAGCGATTTTCAATGGCTGCGCCACACGGCAACCGATTAAGATGTCGGCAAAACGAAATGGGCGAGTTATGTGATAAAAAACACCTGATTTTTTTTTTCATTTCATATGAAATATTTTGAAACTCATCTTGAAGGTTTGAGTATTGCTCGTCAAGCCTTGCAAAAATCGTATACGACACGTTTCATAGGATCTCATATAGGAAAATATAAGGAGATATTAGTTGTCGGTAACCCGACATTGTTTCTTCTCGTAAATGTTTTAAAGTAATCCTTCACCTGAATCCAGAACCCACAAGCTTTCAAAATCCAAAATAATGTTAAGAATTCTGACAAGGAAAACATAGAACCAGAGATAGATGATTCGCTACACAGGGATGATCTCACGGTTACAGTATCTATGTAAATGTAGGGGAACTCTTAAGTATGCATGTAAAATTAAATGAAAACATTGCAACATACTGTAAATCACCATTATGTCACGCGTTAATACACGATAAGAGCCCATCGCAAATTAATATCCTTGATATTCCGTCGTTAATGTATTACAACATACACTTCCGTCGAATTAATATCAATACCTTTTCATTTTATCACAAACAACTCTGCTAGACATATAATACTTCCAAATTCAAACATAATTAGAACTCCGTACTTTTAAACGACATCCTTGTAAAGCAGACAAAAGAACTTCACAAAATGGCATTTCTTAAATGTAAAGCTTTAGGTTAGAGGTCGGGGGTCGAGCACCTATACCACAATAGTTATACTCGTAAATCTTTAATCCTATTTTTGTGTTGGAAAGGTGATGAGGTAAAATATTTACAATAAAAGTGCTTAAATTGTGTAAAGTATATATCTTATCAAATTATAAATTACAAAATAGACAATAGGAAAACCATAAAAGACGTTACCGCAGGGACAACTACTGTATGATTAATATAAACTCGTTTCGAAGCCTAACGTTAAGCACATTGTATACCCTAATATATGAACAGAGGTGAGTTCACGAAATAAAGTATTGGCGTTATATAAGTGACTTATGGTATCGAGATAACTTGTAAATTATCAGTAAACTTGCAAATCTTCATAACACTGCATACAGTGTAATTATGACGTAAAATTTGTCATATAAAACAACAGTTTTTGATATTAGAATGTTGTCGAAATCGGTGCAGAGAGACAAAATCAAAATGAGGGAATGTCGGTAACATCTAATCTATTCAATATAAATTATCATATCTTATTTATTTATTGACACAGACGTGCGATTTCATGTCTATAATTTTCTGAAACAATTATGGTTATCAATACGTGAAGACCTTATAAACAGATGTATTTTTTTGGCAACAGTCCATCAGCCCAAACAGGTACGACGCCCTGGCATTGGTGCACTTCCGGCTCGTCAACAACATCCACCACGGCAGTGGCTTCCTTCCATGGCACAGGGTCTTCATAACCATGTAAGTACGACTTCATCCTCTTATGCAAGATCTTCATAAACGGATTTTTCGAATGGTGCAAAACATATTAGTACGGAATTCTCCTTTCAAATAGTCACTATATTTTTTATTGTTGTTACAGATTTGAGAATGCCCTACGACAAAAGGTGCCGACGGTCGCCCTACCTTACTGGGATTCTACCTTAGACGAAGCCATGATGGATCCTACACAGTCTATTCTCTTCTCTGCTAGATTCGCCGGAAACGGAAATGGTTTAGTGACGAATGGACCGTTTGCCTACTGGCAGACCCCATCCGGTCCCCTGATTCGTAATATAGGCCAAGGCGGAGGTAGTTTATTCTCAAGACAAGAAATTTTAGCTGTGTTATCAAGATCGCGTTTGAATGAAATAGAGGAACCGGATGCTGATAATATGTTCAACTTGGAAAATTATCATGGTGACGTGCACACATGGCTAGGTGGTGAAATGGAACCCATGGAAACGTCCGCATTCGACCCGCTCTTCTATTTGCATCATTGTTTTGTGGACTATGTCTGGGAAATATTCCGAACACGGCAGCGGGCAATGGGAATTGACCCAACAAGGGATTATCCCGCAAATTTCGGACCGCAGACTCATTCACCATTCTTTAGAATGGGTTTTGGGGATTTGCAGAATTCCTTTGGCTTGAGTGACATGTTTACTTCACAAATTTATACATATGAGCAAAACCCATCCTGCTCCTTAGCAAATCCTAACTGTGGATCGATGTACTTGAGCTGTGATATTTCTCAAGGTATTGCACAATGTCTACCGGCTGCGACAGAAGTAAGCAATGCTGCGCCCGTGCAGCCAGGACAAGCAGGTTTTGGAGATCAAAATCCACAGAATCCGTTTGGGCCGGCGCCTAATACAGGTCAACAGAGGGGGATCGGAGGAGGGTTCGGGCAGCCGATGCCGATGTTTGGTCGCCGGAAACGACAGGTTGACAAAAAGAATATCGCTCGCGCCAAGAAAGTACTACAAGAAAATGCAAGGAACATGGCTGTTACGAAAGGCACACATACTTGTACAGGAACTTGGCTATCTTTCTCTAGTCAGAACACATTTGAAGTTGATGGCGTTAGTGACACCCGAAAGTGGGTATTCATTCCCGTAAAAATTATAAGTAAACGTTCACCGGAACATAGAAAATTTCAAGCGTTCCCTATATTTGATGGAAAGGCATCTCGAGAACACGACATTTACGACCCAGATGCATATCCGGAAATAAGCCCTTATTTTTCAGAACAAGTCATGCCATTATCTAAAACATGCAATTCTCGTGCAAGTGACAGGACTGTTGGCAGAGTTCATATCCGGTCCAACGGTCTGAATTATCACGGTAACTACGAAGAATACACGGTCGTTGATCTTCGCCAAGCCTTCTCGGAATCGTCGACGTACATCGCCTTGAGTGATCCGGAAGACGACATGTCTGAGGTCCTGCTGACGGCGTACGACTCTTGTGGTCGACGTTGTAAGCCCTATTGCCGAAGTAGCGATCCGACACGTCCGGGCTACCACAGCTGTTCCGGAGCCGTCCGTGTCACTAAAGAAACACCCTGGATGTATGGAAAGAATTACGGTGACGCTGTCCGTATGTCTTGGAATATGCAAAGCCTGACTGACATTCCCGAACTGAAGACTGACTACAACTTTATCCAGTTTTACTGTGACCACACCGACTGATATACAATGATCCTACGAATAACTCTGCGTGAATAGGCGATATAGTATCATTCCTTTCAATGTGCTTGCTACTTCGACAATAAAAGAATCTTTTCCTTCCGAGTATTAGAACAATGTTAATACAAGATATCGCAACTGAAATTGTATATAATAGTGTTCAGCAATATATGTACATCTGTATATGTCTTTTCGTGGTTAACACAACTGTATTATCATACAATGTACATTTTACATTCTCATTCTAAATTTATTTCCGTTTCGTTACTAAATATTTGTGATAAATGATTAAACTATTTAGCATAACCCAATCTAATTATTTCACACTCAAAATGGTTGAGAAGCTCTCTTGGCAAATATAACCACGAGTATCCGTCGTTATTTGTTTGTTTTATTGTTATATTATGAATTATATAATTGTTTTATTTTCATCTACTCTTCGTTCTTTTTGTCTTAAATGTTAAATTGCGGACGGAACAGAAGAGACACTTTGTGATAACCCAACAATACTATCATAAACCAATCAGAGAGCGTGTCTGCCAAGGTTGATGTTCCGTTTTATATTTATATATTTTTAAAAATTTATTTCACTTTTTTCTCTGAAAGACACACTAGAGGTCATCTGCATGATGTACAGAACAATTGGGATAAGGTTTCTTGCAAACAGAAACAAACACAACAATACGGCACAATTCGTGATATCATTTTCAGAAGAATCACAAAGGGCCTGTTTCCAGTAATGTTAATTCTCCATAGGAGCCTGCCTCCGTATAATTTCTTATCTAGCTCAACTACTTTTTTTCTTTTCCGAAAAATAATTGTACACCTTTCCGACACCCAGATTTCATAATTTCAGTGAAAATGTATTTTTATAAAGTTGTCAATTTTAGCATCAAAGACATAAGTTCGTAAATAAAAGAAGGTTATCTCGAAATTGTAATTCGCAACATAGTATAAACTTCTTTTGATAAATATTTCCAAAACATCGTGTTTATTCATAAAACATAAAAAAAATATTCTCGGATGAAAATGCACTTGCAGCGACACAATTATGAAGAAAAATGCCATAAATTTGCAATTTTCTCCCGTTATATAGTTTTGGATGCAAATTTCCATCAGAAAATCGGATAGAGCTTTACTTGTTTCATATGTGTACCAAAAACCAGCTAATTCCATGTGGTGGAACGTTCTCATATCGCCGCCTGAATGTGGTTGTAAATTGAAAGAAAAGGGGAAATGAGTAACAACCTTGTCTGAAACCCTATTATATAGCTTATTATATACAAACTTTTATATTGAATATCAGAGCGGATATTTTCATGACAGTTTTATGATGTGTAACTGTTACAGTTCTTGGTTTTCAAATCATAACTCAAGACCCTGGGTGGATTCTCTAGGCATTTTATTGCATGTAGGAAGATAACAAGAAGAACCCTGAAATATAAAATACATTTCTGAATTTTCTAATCGTGTGGCCTTGTACATTTATCCGTATCTTCTTGTCTTTGTCTATACGTTTACGAAATCATTCACTCGACGCTAGTTATTGTCCTATCTCCAAAGCGTTGTGGCTCTGTCAGGGTTGGGACCCTGACTTGTCCCACTTTCTTTGTGCCTGCCGACCACGCCACATCGAATGGATAGATTATCCATATGAAACACTTTATTTTGTTCTAAGTAATAAATCAATTCTGCGCTTCTTGGAGGTATTGAATGTGATTTATTATATTGTCTTGTTATTTTGTGTAATTAGTTGTTCGTTATTTATCACACATTTTCGCATAATTGTACCAAACTACTAAGTATTAGCTGTTTACAGCGATCATCGGTGGCTTGCTACTTTGTTACTTTATCGACGCTTCATAAACCAATCGTTATTGTTTCAAGATGGAGGGTAAATGTGTTGGAGAAGAGTGTCAAGTATACTTCAAGAAACGTAGTGGCAATAAGAACAGAAGTGCACGCAATGTAAATAGTCCACATTATAAATGGCTCCTAGATACGCTAGTGCAACAAGGATTGATGTCAGCAAAGGAACAAGCATTTATTTGCCAGAAGTGCTACATAAAGTATCTTCGGAACAATAATCAGCCTGAACCTGAACCCGAGCAGAACCAGGAAATAGAGGAAGAAGACGACTCCCCGTCCCATATCCTGCCGTTGCTGACCCTTCATGATCGTTTGATCACACACAAAATGCTGTCTCTGTCTTGTTACCTTTCAAAAAAATGGAACAAAATCATCAGTCTTACCAAAACGTGCAAGACATCACCTGATCTATTCACACAAATTGTGGTGTTCCACCTCATACCGCGTCTGCTCCATTCACCTTATTGGTAACGACTTAGATCCGTCTACAGAGGTTGTCCTTGATGATAGAGGTTCCTTGGAATCTCAGTTACCATCAAAATCGTCCGAAATCATTAATGACCTCCTAGAGGTGTCGCACGTCCTTTCACAGAACCAGTCTGCGTTTACAATAAGCTTTTCTTCTCTTGATGACTCGGCATGCATGGCCTGGACAGGTTGGTCCAAAGATCAGTTCCTCGAAATCCACTCGCACTGTTCCCCATATCTTTCATCTGGTATATATACCAAGACTACACACGATGCTCTATTACTGTTCTGGGTAAAACTGAAAACCGACATTTCCTGGAGTCAGTGTTCTTCTCTTTTTGGAATTTCCAAGTCAAGTGTGTCCAAAACTTTCCACTCCATAGTACAGGCATTAGACACATCGATAGTCCCACAATTTCTAGGTCCGGATCACTTGACAAGGGAACAGTTGCTCGGGCACAATACTGTCTTTTCAGAAGCATTTTTTGGAGATAAAGCCACTGCCATATTAGATGGCACCTATATTTATATCCAGAAAAGCTCCGACCACAGGCTCCAGAGAATGTCCTACTGTGGCCAGAAGAAGAGAAACTATGTCAAATTCATGAGCATCGCCTTACCAGATGGCTACATTCTGGACACCATAGGACCATTCACTGGCAGCGAAAATGATGCTACAATTACAAAAAAAGTCATGGACAAGCTAGTTACTTGGCTACAACCAGACGACAAAGTTGTCGTTGACCGAGGTTTTAGAGATGTCCTACCAGTTCTTGAAGCCTCTGGCCTCCATGCTAGCATGCCGTCATACCTGAAACCCGGTCAAAGTCAACATTCTGACGTCCAAGCAAATCTTGACAGAACTATCACCAAATCGAGGTGGATTGTGGAATCCTATCATGGTCGTCTGAAACACTGGACGTTCTTCCGAACGCAATTGGTGTCTAACAGCTTTATCAATGTCATTGAGGCTTTGCTTCGAACCGTCACAGCCTGTCTGAATGGTATTAGAGGACCGATCAACCAGAGATCTCCAGAGAGAGATGCCAAAGATAGGCTAATGGCTGAACGTATGAAGGACCGTTTGACAACACCGAATGGTTTAGCTCAGAGAGTCAAGATAGATCCGGATCTATCTAGACGGGCAAGGTCCGAGTTTGTCAAGATGGATGCATCTTCCGTACTGTTTCCCCGTCTCGATCTTGATTACTTGAGAACCATTACGTGTGGAACGTATCAGATATCTCTGGCTCCTGGTTACATCGCCGAACATTTAAGTGATGACGGAGACTATGAGGTGTGGCTTTACCAGCACTCCCCAGACCTTCTCCGATGTCAAATACATTCTCGACACAAAAGCCAAACGAAATATAACGTTTGGATACGGTTCACCGTTTCACCCGATGTTGAGGTCCCAATAAAGGACTACTACTGCCAGTGCCCAGTTGGAGAGAGAACGATGGGAATGTGTGCGCACATCTCCAGTATCTTGTACTACCTTGGGTATTACAGGACGCTGAAAACCCTCGACCATTACAACCACAGGTAAAGAAATTCTGACAAAACTTGAAATAGTTTTCCATGCGGCAACGGAGTGCATATGTCGAAAGTATGTTTGGGGCTCGATATGAAAGATCCCCGTTACCATGTGACTAACCAAACTCATAAATATAGGTATTATTCAATCGCCCGTAGCTATGAACACTCCCGTAAATGCGAAAACCAACCAAAATCATAAAGACCACGTTTTGTTTGTTGTTCTGTCTATTTGTCAGCCAATGTCTTCAACCACGGGACTTGTGAAGTAGCCATCTTGGATTTTTTCATGAAAAAGTGTTTCTCTCACTTTTTTTTCATATCTGTGTACATATTCTCAACATACCGAGCAAATACTCGGTTTTTTTGTTAATTATCTAAAGAAAGTCGTAAATCTGCAATTCAACCATAGCCTAATTCAACCCAACATTTGAAAATGTTCCATCACTTACATTTTGATGATTTTTCCTCTCATCAATAGCATATTACGTACTATTTAATAGGATAAAAATTGGTTTGCATCCAACGCCCATAAAAGGGTGTATTCTCAAAAAAAAAAAGTTTTTGTGTCTAAAATGTTATCATCGAAAATGGCATTTTTGAGATTGTTTCTTCCATAAAACAGCCAAATGGCGCGATGGAAACATGATTTTTTTGTCATAATCATGCCATGAATGTATTCTTTACGGTGACTATCATTTGATTAGATTTTCATTAATATTTTACATAACATGCACATTTTATCAACACTTAGACAGCTTCTGAAAGGTACAACTTTGAGGAGCCATAAAAAACAAACCAAGTGAACTAAATCTTTATACTTTATAGATTTGTGACCACAACGGCATGGGCAATGCACCACCAACAGGAAATTTGAAGCAGAGAAGGGGCCGTTTTGGAAACCGGCCCTTTGTCCCGGGTAAGAATCAAACCTTACACACTGCATCGTAAAACAAAGTTGAAAGGTAGGAACTCTACCTACTGAGCTATCATGGCTTCTGTTTGAAATTCTGACGATTCGACAATATAAGATGGCGATGTCCTCACATTGTGTTAAAATGACAAATCTTTACTGTTACGATGTAAATATTTTACACGCTTTTCATTTCCAACGGTGCAATCCTGCAAATACTTTGAAAGCGTCTTGTCGTCTTACTTTTCTAGAACACCTGATCTCATTTTCCTCGCATTTTTTCAGGAATCCTAGTTTATTATTATTTTTTCGTTCATTTTATATCCTAGTTTAATTGAATTGGGGTTTGAATTATGATTCTGTTGTCATGTTGATATTTTCTTTGTTGTTTCTGTGACAGCAACAATGTTCACGTGATGGAAATCGCTTACAATACATTGAACTTCAGTTTTTAGAGTATCATTGCCGTGCTGATGATATAAAAACGATGATAATATACCAAATGTAGAAGCAATAAAAAGGTATGATCAACTGTAAGTTAAACTTAAGTCCCTGTTGATCTCACGTCTGTCGATTCCTCGTTTTCAAATATTCTATATCATATTATATATACATAACAGTACCAAGGTAGCAGGAACTAATTAATTTGCATTTTTCCTAAAATCATTGGTCATGTTTGAGATATACCGGTATAGCAGTTTGGTTATGAAATATACATCCTTACATGTATATATTTTATAAACTAGATAACAATTACATTAATAGTAGAGATTTGGAAAATGTCATCTGATTTCTGACATATGATTGCCATGGTTACAAACTACAAACCAAATGCTAAAAATGCAAAAATATTGTAAATTCCAATCTATTACTTCAACTTTATAGAAGAAATTGATTTCTGAACACCTGTCTTAAAATCAACAACACTGTCATGGTAACAAACTACTTACATTTCAGCCAATCAGAAATACTTCACAACTTAACCCCGTGTAAACACTATGAACATTTTCACTTCCTGTTAAGCTAGGTTTTGGTGCGTAGACACAGATTCAAAAATGCCGAAATAGTAATCTCCAACATGAAGCCAAAATATTATTCTGACAAAAATGAAACCCTACATTGTCAATTTCAACATTGCAAGATTTATTTGTTATATTTAATTAAAACCTTTATAATGGGGTAATCTAAAGAACAAAAATATCACCCATGGCAACATCGAGAAACTGTGTTCTGCTACCCAAGCAATGCAATCAATTCGGTTGTTTTTATTGTATTAGCAATTTTAATACATTTGTTGTAAGGGATAAGGTTCCATGTTGATTCGTCTACTTAGGCCCCCCGTTCGAAGATCGACTGTTCATAATTATATTTAATTTATCACATAATTACATGTTATAATGTCACAACATTCATTCATAAATGTTTGTTGTTTCAATATATTTGATGACCTGGAGGACCTGAGGTTGGTTTCAGCTGATAAGATTAACAGTGAATCACGTTTTTTACTACATTAAACATATGGGCTTTCACGTTTCCATAGATTTTGTATTCTAATATATATTTGCAAAGGAATTTTATGGGAAATATAGTCAAATATGTCCTTTCGAAGATCTATTACAATGTAACATCTAAAATCATTTATTTGTGTCCTTGCTGGTTAGCTTAGACATATATGTTTAGATATATATTATTATCATCATTGACAATACCAATAATTGTCTTTACACCATGCTTTCAGATATTCAAAATTAGTCTTTTAAATCTAATCTAATTATTAATTATCATTTATTTTCTCAACATTTTTATATGGAATTTACCCAGTTATTAAAGTTATGAATCATAACATTTCATGCACAACAGTCTTTTACACAACATCGTACAAACCAAAACTTCGTATCCATAGGTAGTAAGAAAACAAATATTTCTTCATTTTTTCAATTCAAACTTGATAGGTTTAAAACTTGTACTGACAAATTTAAAATGACATTTGTGTGCGAACGAAATAAAATTTTAAAATATTTTTATGAAAAAAAGAAAGATAAAACAGTTTTGAAATATTTAATAGAAATATGCTTTGCACATCCATTTACAAGACTTCTAAAGCAAATTGACCAAATAATTAAAAGCTGATAAGACTTTCTATTTTCTGCAGTCAGTCGTGATTTCAGAATTTGATGTGAAGGAAATTTCCATTGGTGTTAGTGGGATTCATAGTAATGATCCAAATGCGATGAAATACATAATGATATATATATATAATTAATAGGTCCATTGAAGTGTCACATAACAATTCAAAGGAAAACAGATACAATATAAAACATTTTAAATGAATTAATAATAACATATGTGACACTATTAAACAATTGATACAAATCACTTCATATTGATTAAGTCACTCTATGTTATTGACTTACAAGACACCCTCTTCATAACTAAGAATGCCCCAGGATTCGTCTCTAATAGTTTTAAAACAAAAGGAGTTCTACAGTGAAGTTAAGAATTTTTTCACAGCATGGACGATACACATATCAGGGTTGTAGGCGCAATATATTTATCACAGCATTCAGCTATGACCACACTGAACAAGACATACACGGCGAACTAACTTTGAAGAAGAAACTCCTGTCTGCTGACGTCTGTTGTATCTCTGGACCTAAATAAATAAATGAGAACGTACTGTAATTTTCTGTCTTACAGCTATGTTAAAACATTTTTACATTCACACAACATGTCATTTCCATTGTTTTCTATGTGAAAGCAAAACCACCATATTTGGTCAATTTAGCAACCTTTGATGCCTCCGTTATCACATACAATATGTAAGATCAATTAACTAGAACGAGATAAACAAAAAGTATGTAAACTCAGATTATGACATCACATTTTTCGTATATTGTTTGTCTTGTAAAAATTCTAAAAACTGACAAAGGAAAACAAAGTATTTTGAACAATAATTCATTTGCAACATTTCGTATCTAAATACTATAACATGGAAAAACAACTTATATATAATGATGAATCACACAATAGTATAAATGATCTTATTGAAACATCAGTACACCACCAGTGTAGAAATGTTTACAACGATGTCGTCCCTTTCTTTCAGGTAATAGGGTTATCTGTATGAAGATGTAGGTGACCAGGTTGTCCGTTTCATAACACGTCAAGTGTATACTAGAAGATAAACATAAGCAGGAATGTTACTCTTTAGAGACCATGTTACAACTAGAGGGTCAAATGGCAGTTAACAATCAAATGGATTCGATCTAGTCATTTATCTGTAGATCTGACGGTCAGAGATCAGAAGGCGTAGCGTGTTCACCACTTTGTCCCTCTATTGCCAGCCAGTAAGAAATATCTCACCATCGTTACTCCGAATGCTGCACAGCGTATTACACAATGGCTATGACATGTGTCCTTTTCCTTCTTACTTGTCTACTCAGACAGCAATGACATCTTATAACATCACTATTTCAATCCATCTATACATGGTCCGTTCTCATCTAATTTTTGGTGTAACGAGAGACATGCAAGTAACGTTTGTTCAACATGTTTGTACGACGAACATCCGCTTTGAGTAATATACAACTAAATGAAAAAAATAAATGGGGTTCCGTACCTCTTTCTTTTTTTATGAGTTTGCAGAATCTCTGGAAGGTGTTCATTTGTCGTCTCGGGTAACAGTACAGTAAGAAAGGACGCCATTATGGCCAATCCACCGAACAACAGCAATGGTAGAGATTCGCCCATGGCCGGGACACTGGATGTCTGTAATGTAATGATAAAATGGTTGAAATCCTTCTTTCTAGTAAAGGACAATTTGAGTAGAACTATAAACTGTACATTTTGACTTATGAAAATGTACATTTATTGCATCAAAAACTAAATCTGCTTTAAAACCATTAACACATTATTAAAATTCGCCCTTTAAAATTAATTTACAAACAACATTTCGTGGATATTTTATGCTTATCTAAATGTTATGTTTCATTTAAGTCAATCGAATAGAATTCATTCGCACGTTTGCGCATATTATAAAAAAAGAAAAGCGAAGGATCTAAAATCAACTTACAGACTCAAATCTTCTTTTGAATCTTACCATTTGTACAATATACGGCATTATGATATATCCAACATTACTAAAGGCACAGCCTAAGCCCATAGCTGTGCTTCGCAGTGATGTGGGGAACAATTCTGCTGCCCATATGTACATAACAGAAAAACCAACCGTGATGCCCAGTTTACCTATCATAGCAAGTGTAACTGTCACAGCATCTAAAATCAGAAGTAGAAAAGTAGAACAACGGGTACAAGTCTTAGGTAGTCTACCTGAATTATAGTAATACGTATGTCAATTATAAATCATTACGCGTAAAAATATATCAAAATGAGTATCAAGAGTTTGATATAAGCGTTATCGCGCTCTGACCCAGGTTTTGTACATGTATACAATGTCAAACAATTATTAAAACACATTATGTAACAATTAAACAATTAATATTGAAAAAAGACAAAAAAAAAAAAAAAAAAAAACCACCAAACAAAAAAAAAAAAAAAAAAAAAACAAAAAAAACAAACAAAAAAAAAAAAAAAAATTTTAAAAAAAAAAAAAAAAAAAAAAAAAAAAAAAACCCCCCCCCCCCCCCCCCCCCCCAAAAAAAAAAAAAAAAAAAAAAAAAAAAAAAAAAAAAAAAAAAAAAAAAAAAGAGAAGGAAACATAATTTGTTAGAATGTACTTACGATTTGAGATCAATATTTCAAGCACTCCAGTTAAAAGCATGAATGCCCCTCCAATAAACATTCCTAGGATAAATAACTTCTTTCGCCCTATCGTGTCTAACAGCGGCAACAAAAGCAGGGTGGCTGGAATTTCAACCAAACCAGCAATCAGCTGGTTCAAGTAAAAATAACCACTAAGGTTGCTGGCATTGAAGTAAAACCCAAAGTAAGTTAGAGAGATCACAAACCTACAGAAAAGGAAAAAAATATTTTTATGCTGGAAACGTAAATTATACAACAGAAAACCGCCACCACTAAACGTATATAAACTTCTTATTGTATTGTGTCCCTTTGTGACAGTATGTTATACTGAAAGGATAAAGAAACGCAGGGTAATATTTTGAAAACGCGTTCTCCAAATAAAGTGAAACTTTGTGGATTGAGTAATTAGGTGATATTTTACCTTGTCATGTATCGAAAATTTAGTCACGGTACAGTGCGCAGCTCTGGTAAATGGAGGAAGGAAAAACCAAGAATCTCGTGCACCGTGTTGTTCTGGTCTCATGCAGCGTTGGTCAAGTCACTCTTCGTTAGTCTTTATACAGACCAACTGCTTCCCTAAAATTAATTGAGAATTTGATTCGTTTTAAGAATGGCACGACTCACAGAAGTTCAGCTGATGCAAGGACAGCTGCAAAATCAGGTTGCTAGGCACTTTGGTGTTAATGTTTCCACCATAGAACGTCTTGTAAGACGTCTTCGGGAAACTAGGCGATTGGCCGATCGACCTAGGTCAGGACGTCCGCGCGTAACGTCACGACGTCAGGATCGCTATATCGTCGTCTCTCATGTGCGTAATCGGCGCCTTACTGCCGTTGAGAGTGCACTTAATGTTCATGGAAATCTTGGGCGTCCTATAAGTTCAATAACTGTAAGGAATCGATTACGAGAAGTTGGTGTAAGAGCACGTAGGTCCACACCTTACCCCTGCTCGACGTCAGCGTCGTATGGCCTGGGTCGCTGCACATGCTTTACGACGGTTTCCACTGAGGCAGTGGAGACAAGTTTTCTTCACGGACGAGTCTCGATTTTGTCTTTATCGATCTGACGCCCGTCATCGTGTCTACCGACGTCGTGGCGAACGTTTTACGGACGCTTGCGTTGTAGAGAGGGATAGGTTTGGGGGCGGTTCAGTAATGGTGTGGGAAAGAATCTCACAAAAAAAATCACAATTGGTTGTTATTGATGGCAATTTAACAGCAGCTAAGTATAGAGATGAGATCCTCCGACCCCATGTTATCCCTTTCTTACAGCAGCATAATCTAACCCTCCAGCGGGATAATGCTAGGCCCCACGTAGCAAGGATTTGCCAAGTCTTTCTTGCCAACAACAACATTCAACCACTAAATTGGCCGCCATATAGCCCTGATTTGTCCCCGATCGAGCATCTTTGGGACCAGTTGGATAGACAGGTTCGAAAGCGCCAGCCACCCCCTGCTTCTCGAGAGCAGTTGACCAGAGCTCTGATTGAAGAGTGGGACAACATCCCCATAAGACGGATTAACGCTCTCATGAACTCTATGACCAGAAGAATAAGGGCCGTGACCACAGCAAACGGCGGACACACAAGATATTGATGACTCAGTTCAATTTCAATTTCAAAATCCTATGGGTCCATTCAATTTAAACGTTAGTACCTCTAAACCAATTTTCAGATGCAAAATACAGACTTTGGAAATTTTTAAGCTTTAATTTATCTAAGTATACAAAATTTCGTTTTAAATGAAGCCCGATATTATACTCAATTTCCGGTTTAAAGTTCATCCTGCGTTTCTTTATCCTTTTAGTATATATATTACCTACCAGTTCGCCCATATTATTAAGGACCTAAACAGCATCGGCCAGGTCGACAGGAGGTGCCACACTCTGTATTGTCTGACGGACTCATCATCATCATCATCGGTCAGTTGTTCAAGTGTCAAATTGTCGGCATAGTGGTTAGATTTGGCGATTTTCAGGATTATGACCCCTGCTTGTTCCTGTTTCCCCTGACTAATTAACCAGCGAGGAGATTCAGGAATTACCCTACACAGATAAATTAGACGGTTAGTGTTAAACTTAAATACCATACCAGTGGATCAGTGAAACGTTTGTATTATTCCGTAAATCCTACCAGAGACATTGATATGTGTTGTAGTAGATATCAACATTCCGAAGATCCTCTAAACTGTAGCATGCATTTATGTCGTTTGAAATTAATTGTCATTGAAATATTAATGGAGGCTTTTGTTGATAAATCGTCAGGTAGTAATGACCATCATTATCAAATAACATTAGATATGACATTATCACCTGACATAACTGTATGAAGTTTCATGGGTATTAGAACATGGTAAACGAATTTGTCGACTTTTAGTTAGTAAATAATATTGTAATGTTTATATACGCTTGTTTAAATAGTAGAAACACATACCACCAATATACCAAAAACAGAGCTGCCGGAGCGGAACAAGCTATCTGAATATATTTCCAATGCCGTAACCCGTAACCAATCCCTGACAATACGATCAGCCCAGCAGTGTAGAAGTAATTTATCAAAATACCAGCCCAACGTCGTTTTGAGGGTCCTACAATTTCTAGACCTGAAAAAATATCAAGGCAAAATACTATGAGCTAAACAAATCAATTCCGATAAAAACATGTCAACGTTTTATTGATGCGTATACCAACGTTTAGAGTTAATAAAAAAATCACAAAAAAGTATGACTAAATACTTTTTTCGAATGTAATAACTAACAATTGAATAAACATTTCATTCAAGTGGCTAAAGGTAGTGTCCACAATCTCTTAAAATCATCTTACCATATTTTCAAAATCTAATTCATGTTACCGAAGCAACATTCGACAGTCGAGTTATTTTGTTGTTTCTGTTGTTAACCCCACCATAGATACTGTTGGCAATTAATACCATGGTTACTGTTGGTAACCCCACCGTAGTTACTGTTGGCAAATCTACCATAGATACTGTTGGCAATTAATACCATGGTTACTGTTGGTAACCCCACCGTAGTTACTGTTGGCAAATCTACCATAGATACTGTTGGCAATTAATACCATGGTTACTGTTGGTAACCCCACCATAGATACTGTTGGCAATCTTACCATTGTTTGTCAAGGCAATCTGTAGTTTGAACCATCTTCTTATTTTAACAGATTTGACAATTCCTTGAGTCGACAATACGTTTAAACAATGCGATCCATTTAATTAATATGGGAATTTTATATTAAATTGGTGTAACTATAGTTCGAGTCGAATATACATTTAGTTAATGTGATGTTACACGCAATGCTGTAGATTGTTTCTTGATGTTAATGACTGATGGTCCGTAAAGCCAAAAGTTAAAAATAATTGAGTTGATTATAAATAATTTTGATATTCAGTTTAATGAATATGATAATAGTTAGAGTCGATATTACATTTAATTAATGTACTAGTATTAATCGACCCTCATGCTCGTGGTGATGCTAGAGATGTAATGGTGGAAATCTAGAGAGGTAGTAAAGGATATCCAAAAGTAGAGAAGGGAAGGCTCAAAAGCTCTTCATTTCAGTCAGTTTTATAGATCTTGGAACATTGTGAACTAGCGTTATTTATACAAAGTGACCAATCGCAATAACGTATCCCCTATTTATCGAAAGGGCTGTTTAAATGACAGTGTATCGCAACTGATTTGTAGTGATAGGACTCCATACATTTCGACTGATTGCCTTTTCTTTGTGCAGGCGCTAAGGTAATAAAGAACATGAAAATCAGTTTCTTAATTTCTGATCATCGAATTATGCCAAAATAAAAAATGGATATTTAATTTAAGTGGGAGATAGAAAAAAAGGACAGATGTAATATTTAGAAAAACACTACGTACCTAACACAAAGGCTGTGATATAAACTGATGTGGCACAGGTTGACTGTATGAATCTTAGAATCGTGAACATGTATATATTGGTTGAAAAGGCAGAGCCGAGTCCAGCCAGCATCAGTAAAGTAGTACTTCCACAAAAAGTGATTTTCCTTCCATATCTGCAATGAAAAACTGTTGAACTTAAATTAATTCATTGACAAGGACTTACGTAGCAAACGTTATAGTACTATCAAACTGAATAAAACACATGTACGTACTTCTATTTATTTTAATTCACCAAAATAAACTGCTTTCGAATAATTATCAAGAATATCTCGTGAATCCATGCATACTTAAACTTTTGAAACGTGCAGGAACATTAAAAAAGTCGTCTTCACGTACTTGTTTGTCTGGCAGCTTCGACGATTATATGTTGATTGTGGATAAACGTTAACATTGCAATAGATAGAACAAATATATTTTCAAATAATCTATTATAAGAAATCCTAATGGGGATCTCGGCCCCTACCATTGCTTGCTCTTTATTTGTTCTTTAAATGTGGGATGTTTTCTCTTCTCTTTTCTCCTCTGTTTTTGCACTTAATGATACGAAATTTGAACATGACCTTGTAGGAATAGTGATAATAATCTTTAATGGCCAAATCCAAGATAGTCGCTTTTGATCCATTTTATTTATCTGATCAATCTCAAAAGCAAACGCTACCAACTAGGGACCAAGGGATATATATATGTTTAATTTGAGAAAGATCCACCCAGTACTTCTGAAGAAATAGCGATAACAAACTTAGGCCAGCAAGATTTAAGTTGACCGCCTTTTATTCTGATCAATCCTATAATTATCCCGTCACAACAAGAGACCAAACAAATCCTTCATACGAAATTTGAGAGCGATATATACAGTACTTGATTTCATGGTTACATGATTTCATGGTATACAATTAAACCCCCAAATATGAAATGTGATCTTATTTATGAAATCAAATTCATTCTGGTTATAGACTTATGTTTTGGTTTCTTATCTTAAACACCGACTTTTCCACATAAAGTTTCTGAATTGTAGAAAAACAACATGATAGGATAGCATTTTAAACCTTCTGTTGTATATATTCATCTTTTTAAAATTACTAATGCAAGATTATGTATATATATCAAAATAGGAGTAATCTAATTCATTTTTATCCATTACTTAAGGGATCGAAGGGTGGTCGAAAGGTGAAGTGGTAACTTCACCACATTTCAACAAAGCGACCAGGGTCCGATTCCCTGACTGGGCGACCACTTGGACAAACAGCATGCTTCTGTTTTGGTAAATGAGGATATTTGTTTTATAACTCACTAAAACTTTTATCATACTTGTTGTATAGCAGATACAGTGTAAAACTCAACAATATTACCTTATATAAAGAATCAGTAAAGGATACAAGGCTAACTGTATTTATTATCTTACCTGTCTGAGATAATCCCTTGTACAAACGAACCAACGATCGACCCACAGTGAATAGCGACTTGTATATACACCGAGATGGACGAGCTGGCGCATACCAGGTTATGCTGGTAACAAGACGTTAAGAAATTTTAGTTCTGACATAGTGATGTTTTACAGAAGAAACAACAAATATTAAAATCATAAAGAAAGTCAGGTGTACATTTGCCTCTGTTGTCAATGTGTCTGATGCATTTTACACCAGTGACGATTCCAAAGACGAAACAGCTGTATGATGCAGTTTAATTCATTATTTTGCTCAACTCGAATTGAGTGTTGCTATTTACATGTTTGCCATTTGTACAGTCTTTGGGATTGATGTCTGATAAATAATACTTGTAGACGAAGTTTGCCGTGATCTGCATTTCACGTGTAACTCGTATATACATGTGGTTGGCTTTCTTTTGAAACTATAAAGTCATGAATCAGAAATATGAAAAGTATGAAATTTATTGAATTACAATTGTATTTAGTTAGTACACATTCAAAATTTGACAGTTCTTCCGATCTGTTTGTTTCCCTCTGTCGTCTCCTTGGTCTCAACTTATGGGCCTTCGTATCACTCCCTAATTCTCGGAGGACGAGAGACAGCTGTATGATGTAATTTCCTCCATTATCTAATTCCGACTTTGTAGGGAAATGTGCCATTGTGTGTCTTGTGTACAAACTTTGCCGCGGGGATGTTTTCCACTAATGAGGATGACGGACTTTGAAGATAAAATAACATTTCTGCGTTGTGTTAGTGAAGATTTATTAACCATAGTTAACACTACAACAGGTCAATGACATGCTGAACACATCTACTTCGAAAGTAACTTATCGTTACATATGTAATAACATCACCGCATTCGTTATAGTTTTGATATGCTAACATATATCTGCAATGACATTATTAGCAATATAACGATCTGTAAATAGCGTGTCGTATATATTATTTATCATTATGTATACGTTTTATAAACGACTACAACAAACTGTCGAGCGATGACATCACTAAGATTTGAATCCTTTATAGATTGTCAATCTAGACTATATATATTGTTTTGATAAATGCTTCAATGTCGTTAGGCACACTAAATACTTACAATAATTTAAACACTTTTAATTTACTTTCTCTATTATCTAATAAAGCCAGGAATGATGCATTGGTCCAATAGAGGTTACAAACTAGCATGTATTTTTAAAATTTTATCAATTATAACGTCATTGGTCCACCATTGGTTTATTGTTACTTTATAATCTTTTGATAGCAAGAGTCATTTCAGGCTATGTTGGTGAGGTAGAGGACAACCGAAATTATAATTCGCATGCTATTATATATGGAATTATAATTCCGGCTGTCCTTCATCTCGCCAACCTGACCTTAAATGACTATTTGAGGAAAAACAAGAAAAAAGAAAAACCCACCGACCTTGCAACCAGTATCCGGGAATTGCTCAACTCGGGAGAGCTAGTGATAAAACTTTTACTAAAGGGCAGACGCCTTAACAAGTAGTTTATCAACATGCTATATATCCCAGTAATATTCACCATTATTTAATATGCAAAACCATATATGCTTACATCTATATCGCTGGTGGGGATCTTGTCTGTACGAGGCCGTCTCATGACAATGAGAAGGTCTTTCTGGTCTAGAAACTCTGGTAATTCCCGAAAGCGTTTGCCTTTGGGAAGGGACTAACGGCTGCTTGTCTGACTCTGTCACTGATCCTGGCGTTTCAGGTGGTGATGTTTATTGCATTGAACTGTCTTGGTAACGGGCCAACCCTTTCGAATTCACAGAATTGTCTGGTGTCAAGTCATGTTCCGCTATCCCGCTGTCTCATGGTATATGGTGTACAGCTGGCAAACATCTCAGTGCTCTCTTAACACGTGTACAGATGGTTTTAGATTTTAAAAGGATAAGAGCAATTAAGGACAGAGATCGTACATGACCGGGTTTCCACCTTGGTGGTCCACTTTCATCCTTCGTACAGGATGACGAGTCTGTCTCAGGCAAGTCAGTTTGGTCGGCTTTTGTGTCACTCGTAGCACGCAGTTCCCTCCTACTTACTACTATTTTGCTTTGTGGTTTTGTTGCCCCTATATTCTGCGTCTTTTGGGCCATATTTATGACTTCTTGCTCTTGCGCAGACTCGCTGGTCTTTGAGTCCCAGGGTAGAGCTTCGTCTTCCACTCTGAAGTCAAGGTTGTGAGGCGCTTTGTACCTAAATGCCGTTTTGTGGAGCCTCCTTAGGGTTCTCTCAATTCTCTTGAATTGGCCTCTCAAGCTGGCCCGTTTCCTCAACCTAGAACCAATGGTCACAACGAAGTACATGCACTTGGTAGGTAGGTCACGGGTATGGCAGCGGAGGACGACTTTGTTCATCTCTCGCCTGGTAATTATTGATAATGATCCTTCCGATTCCTGTGATAACAATCCCCAATGACCTCAAGGCGGGAGCTAGTCTGACTCTTCAATATATTCGCCTTCATTTCTACCGGAAAGAAGTCGGATTGCCATATTTCAGGATTTGGTTTTCCTAGGAACCGTTCAGTACGGTTCATTGCATATTCTGTTCTGTTCTGGCGGAAAATCTTCACAGGCGCAAGTTGAAACTTAATAATTAGTAAATCAAAGTTATTAATGCCCATATATAAAAGTTAAATACACGTACTTACCTCCGACACAAACGTGGATGTAAAGACAGTCTGATCATATTTCCAGACTGAACATGCGTATGCGGTGGTGTTACTTTCTTCCCCATGTGACTTGTTGCCATACGCTTTGATCAGACATTCGCCATATTGTAATTCTCTCGAACTATTTTGGTAATTTCTGGGGTCTACGTCATAGGTAGTTGAGCCATTTTGAGCAATAAGTGGTGCACATCTGTTTGAAAATAGAGGAGAATGTAGAACGTATGCCAATGATTTCTTCACCACTCAAATATGTCGAAAACCTAGATCTCTACTCGTATGCATAAAAAATTTAGTTATTTTCTGACGCTTGTTCTTAAAAACTATAACATTAATGTTACTCGTCCAACACTAACTTCATGACATTATCTACTCCTCAAACTAGACGTAATCATAGACAAGGACATAGGCATTACCAAGAATCTAGCGAATATACGGCCATGTTTGGAAACTCAATGGATACTTTAAAAAAAAACATTAGATGTTCATCACTTTCAAACTACGTTAAACTCGCTTCCTCTTTTAAAGTGGATTCAGCTTACTGAACTGGTGACTTGTGGAAACTAGCCAGAGAACTTCATAAAATTATTGATAATGGGGCATGTCCGTAAAAATGGCCGCGATCCTTCAACAACTCACCAATTTATGAATGTTGAGTTTGTAAATACAAATGTTAAGGAGTTGATGCTATAAACATCAGTAATGTTTTACACCTGAAGTCTGTTCAGTCTGCTAACATTCCACCTTACTTTAAATGTAAAAATACCTCTGTAATTTCCTACAGTTACTCCAAGTCCAATGCATCCAACCTTTTCAACTACGAACAAACGCTGCAGCAACTGAATGCAGATGACCTTAGAACTCTGTCAGCTTGTTCTACCTCTACTCGTAATTATGGTCCAACTGGGTACACAGTAACTGCTGAGTTAGGCATTATTCAAAATGTTCAGATACAAGAGGTTTTCATGAAGGGTCCTAAATATCGTGAAACCCCGTCCGTTAATTGGAATGTGAATTTCAAGATCCTCATGGATTCTATGCCAGAGAATAGTCGAAACGAAAACATGCTGTCATGGATTCACTTTCTCAGTGAGTTTAGTCCATTCGGTCCATCATTCGTTAAATAATTTGCAGCTTGATCTCGAAAATGAAAACAAGATACAGGTCAGCTTTCCTCGATCCTGATGTTAAATCCAAACGTCAAGATTTACATAACAGGTATGTTATTCTGCCTACAGATAAGGCGTCCAATATTTTGATCCTTGTCTGCAAACATTATTACATTTCCAAGTATACAAAAGAACTGGGTTTGCTTGATAACAAAGGAAACCCCACCTATGCATCATGCAATCTTTCAAAAGAGGAAATATTAGCTAATCATGCTTCGGTATCACAATCATTTAAATTACCTGTTAATGATAAGGATACAGACCTCCCCCGTTTATACTGGATCCCTAAACTTGACAAGAATCCATATAAACAACGTTTTATTTCTGGCTCGTCTCATTGTTCAGCCAAGTCTTTGTCTAAACTACTGTTGCAGTCTTATTGTTATACTGATTACTCAAGAAGTGAAATTAATAGTATGTGGATTTTGAAGAACTCAAAAGAGCTTTTGACCAATCTTCAACACCATCTTCTAAAAAAACAATTCCTTCTATAAGAACATTTGATTTTTCCCATCCTGTACACCACCATACTCCATGCTAAACTAAAGGAACGCCTTCGTACACTTGTTATGTACCCAAGTCAAAGAAGAAATACACGATGGACGAAATCATGAAAATGATCGAGTTTTTGGTTGACAACATCTTCGTCGAGTTTGATGGTTAGATCTTAAAACATACTATTTGCATACCTATGGGAACCAACTGCGCCCATCTGTGACTGACTTGTTTTTTTTTCATACGAGGCTGAATTCATTGAAGAGCTTATCAAAACAGTTCACAAAGACCTTGCAAAGTCATTTAATTTTACTTTTAGATATAATGATGACGTTTTGTCTTTAAATAACTAGAAATTTATTGACTATGTCAATCGTCCACCAGAACTGGAAATCAAAGATACGACAGATTCTTCTACATCATCTGCTTATCTCGATTTTTTCCTACAACGAAACCAACATGGACAGCTTTTCATCAAGTTGTATGGTAAACGTGATGATTTCTATTTTCCTATTGTGAATTTTCAATTTTTGGATAGCAATATTCCTGCAACTCCGACCTATGGTATTTACATGTCACAGTTGATTTGATAATCATGGGTCTGTTCCTATTATTATGATTTTCGTGCAAGAAGTTGTCAACTTACTGACAAACTCGTAACACAAGGGTTCAAAAGATGCAGGCAGATGAAAATTATGGGGACGTTTTATGGTCGCCATAGTGATTTCATTGCGAAATATTCTATTTCTTTGTGCGAATTTAGTCGTAATTGATGCTCGTTAGTTTGCCTGTTGGTTCCGTTGTTGTATACCTTGTTTTCATTTAAGAACGCGACATTACTTACTTGAATTGACCAATGTTTACATGGCGGTTGTCGTCGATGAAGCAAAAGACGCTTACTCTTCCAGAACACCTAGTCTTATTCTCCTTGTTCTTTTTTCAGGAACTCCGTGTCAATCTTTCTTTTGTAAATAGTTTGCCCTTGTTTTATGGAATTCGTCATATTATTATGTTGATATGTTGGCATTTTCTAGATGATTTTTGTTCAAAAGAAAATTGTTCTGTAGATAAATGAAATCACATTCTTGTTTCGCTGTATGCAGTCGTATCTAAACGTGATAACAAAAGTTGAATACAACTCTCATCACAGCAACTTAAGAAATTAAAACTTGGGTATTGAGTTCATAATTATCAACAAAACGTCAGACAATTCGGGCGAAACTCTCATCGATACAACCTTATATTGGTATCAATGCGGGGCCCTTTTATTTTATTTGTTTAAGCCTTGTTTCAGCCCGTTCAGTGAGAATATATAAGCAAGTTAACAAATGTTACGATCTTTTAAGATCTTTTTATGTAAATCTCTGGACAGAGTCTGCTTAGAATATACAAAAGGCTTCTGAGTTACAGACATCAGGAGGTAACGTTATCGACATATACAAGATAACGAATGATGTCTAGGATGGAAACACGTCAGATTTCCTGTCACTGTGGCAGAATTTTCCCAAAAGACATTGTACCATGGGAAATTTAAAATAACTCTACTCACAACATTCAAATACTGAGATAAAGAAAATGATAATTTTCCTTACGAACAGCAAAGTCATGGAACAGTCTGCCTAAGGGCACCATCAATATATACATTTGAGAACAGACTTGACGAACACTTGATTAATGAATGATATATAAGTACAGAGCTTAACAACTCGTTAAATATATTATTTCTATACCGAAACTTTCATTCATTTATACAATAAAATACCTAAATATTGTTTCCAATTGTGATGATTATATTTATTTAGATCCTATATCGGCAGATAAACTCAACTTAAACAAAACCGAGGAAGCCACTTAACAAATTAAACTAAATGCTAAGAACAAAAGACAATCTGATTAGCAAATGTTGTTAACGTTACCGTAATCTTAACCACGTAAGTGTTTTTTATGCATACGAGCTCATCTTCTCTTAGTTTATCTAACGCTTTTTTTCTGTATTTCTGAGATTCGGAGATTTTATTTTTTCGTGCGATATAGAAGAAACATATACCCTGGCATGTGGTTTGGTTAGAACGAACTCTCCAATCATGTAAAGGCTCAAATTACCTAACCTGGGCAACATTCGATTTCAAGGATAGGACAATCAAACGTTTTGAAGGTGATCGCACACGAATACATACTGATGTCTTAATATTTTCAAAAGACACCAGTGAATAGGCATCTTTTTTCATATGACATGATCTAAGTTCATTCAATAGTATGAGGTTTATCTTACCTGTGTATCGGAGTATACATTAAATATGCGCTTAAGATATCATACATAGCGATGCACAGGACAGGCAGACAGAGCAAAAAGTATATCCTTCTTTGGTAAGGTCCGAACTCTCCAACCAATTTCAAGATGGCGTCAAACTGCATTCTGTCTACGTTTACTGCGCTGTGAACTATTAAATGTTAATATGTAAGATTAATTCATTTAACATTGTGCTAGATATTAGTCAGATGTTTCATCATAATGTATCTGCCTATGTTAATTTAGTACTTATATCTACTGTGAACAATTATGTATTGACCAGTTACTGATCTACTACACATGTTCATGTATTAGTTTGTTCCCTGATTATATAAGTCATTACCTGAAGCCTATCTAAGCAGTTTGTATGATGGTCAGTGTAACCTTATCCTGATGTAAACAGCCACATATGTTGCCATTTATGTGTGGACTAACCATGTCAATGACTCATGTATACTTCAATCCATGTTTACCTGTTACTAATGTGTATTAGTACTTCATCAGTTAATTAACATGGCAAGTATAAATACGACCACCTTTGTAGCTAGAATGGATCGGTTCCTGAAGGTCAGAAAGGAGAGAGGCTAGTCTCCACTGGCCGGACCCCCGCTCGTTCGGGCTTTTGCCCGAACAAGAACATCTCAACTCTAGACCCAACTAATGAAATTAACAATTTTTCATTTTAGCTGCAACGATATTGGTTATATTAATATAAGGAACATCAAAAAATGTGAGAAAGTTAAATGTTGATAAAACAAAACTGTGGAAATGGTCAATGTCTAAAACCTTTATATACTAGTATGTATGTGTAATATATTCTAAGAGCTTGGGTTGATAAACTACTGGAACATTGAGATATAGCATCCACAATTATTATCTATAATTTATGGCCTGAATAATTACAACTTGGTTATGTCAATAGACTAGAAGGTCTTATAACACAGCGGTAGAGGACGTTTGTTGCAGCTTTACTGTAATCCTATGTACACTCAGGTCGGAAACAGTGTGACGAGATGGTAAACAGAGTATAGACAAAAAGCACACAGGAAGGTAACAATGCACTGTAGTCAATTCGGCTACGCTGGCAAGTACTAAACAGGAACAACAGGGGTCACCAGCACTCGCATATCTACAACCAGTTGTGAGGGTAGCCGAATGGAATATAGTACATTGTTACCATATTGAGTAACAAAAATGTTTAGAATGATAGCTAGCGATCTATTTATAACATTTTATCTCCTTGTGGTAATTTTTCTCGGCTGATCAGGTGGGTAATACAATCTGCAGCGAAAATTTTTTTTCTTCATATAATTTAAAAAGTAAAAAGATATTTATTAGATCTGGCGGAGTCTTATATTGATATCATTTGATAAATCATGTGAAGTGTATGTACCGTAATCATTTTAGGAGTATACATGTTTAATTCTATTTGATTTAAGGTTTACATATAATTATGGGACCACAAAAAATCATTGATAGCATACAGTGTAATAATCAATCCTGATTATTTTGAATTATCTTCCATATCAGTAATTTACCCTATGTACCTGACGTCAGACATTAGCTCTAGATCAACAAAGACTTCTGACCAAGTGTAAACCAACATCTAAATGCCTTATCATAACCCAGAAACAGTCTACATGCACATTTCTAACTGTACAGTCGTATTTCAAACTAAATTACTGTAGATTCCATAGATTTTTATACATTTACAAAAAGATTTGGGGAAAAAAGAAGGATATGTACTTACCACACTCGGATGCCTCTTTTGATATTACTCTGTAGTACGTTGTTCGGTTACAAACACAACAACGTCATCAGCACAGTGTAAGTCTTTTTGTGAGATAGTGTCACTAGTTTACCTTGTTGAAGTTCTACAGGATTATGTTCTTATAAACAGCATCTTTCACATAAATTTTGATGAATTATTCCTGATATACGCTATCTGGAGCTGTAGGTATGACCCCTCAGTTGTTCAACAACATGATGTATGTAGCCACTTGCACATGTGTAGGCAGTTATGCAACATTACAGCTTGTCAATAGTGAACGAGTTTCCTGAAAAGTAATACACGTTTAGCAGCGTCATTTAAATGACATAGTTGTATGTGTACCTTGTATTCATATCTATATAGATTGTAACGTGTGCGAGGTCTGCCCTAGTTGGTAGCGCTGGCAGAACGGGCCCCGAAACACGCCACGTTTCCGTGCCCCACTATGGACACTAGTGGGTGGGATCTTTTAGGACTGATGGCCCGGCCGAGCCAAAGATGACCAGGAGACAGTTATCAAGTCAACATTTTACTGAGCAAGGAACAACACCCCAGGTACAATTGCCTCTACAGTCGCAGCCCGGAAAGTATGATATCGACTGCCTGGGCGCAGACCCTCTCTAGATACCGGCAGGGTATGCCGGTCTAAGGCCTACAGCTTACAGTTGTGTAAAGTAGAGTAGCCGTGCTTCCAACACGTGACCTGGTTGCCAGAATTAAAGCCCACACACCACCATACGGCCGCCGTCTTATACAGCAATACGTCGATTACTCTAACTTTATCAACTTTACAGCCCTGTTCAAACTTGTACAAAAAGACCTAACACTAACCAAATGCTTAATTATGTAAGAGGTGCATACGCTTATCATTCTGAAATAACTACACCTAAATTATACCTAAAGAGTATCCAGTAATTAACAACTAACTATCTAAATGACAACATAACAAGGGAAATAACTCTTACCTATTATTAAAACATCAGATACAAGGTGTACAGAGGCATAACGTTACAAAATATACATATGTGCGTTGTATATCTATTGTTTACATCGTTCCTGTGTAAAACTGTATGTACAGGGTTTAAGGGTCAGGTTATTTTTATGTGGTTGACTATTGGTCAGTGCGTACCCGCGCTTTGTGCTCATTCCCGTCACTCCCGTACAAGTCGTTGGTAGTCACGGACGTACGATATTGTTCTGAAATTTGACTTTCCCACCATTTATGTTATTTGTCATTTTTTTACACAATGGTGTTTGCTAATTTATTGAAAATTTCGGATCATGTTAATTATATAAGTAATTCATGTAAATGTCTGCTACTAGGTAGTCTCCCTTCGAGTAATACCCTCTTCGTCTGGGAAGAGGTAGGTTGTAACTGTTGTCACCACATGAAAATGTATTAAATTGTAACTATTATGTATATGTTTTACCTATTTCATATTTTATAAAAAATATTGTTGTTGTAATAATAAGCGTTAAGCAACTGTTTCTAGTTGCGTAAAGATCACGTCTCGGTTATCCAGTGTAATTGTTCGGTAATAATCCTAAAGCGTACTGTAAAGTTAGTAGCATGTAGCAGGTGCGTGCACCTGTTGCATTGTGGTGAAATGGATTCGTCCATTTCAATGTATGCTACTTGTAGTGATGTTCAGTTATAAATGATGTTATTTGTTGTTTTAGGGTATTTACTGAGTGCTATATAAAGTGGCTTGATTGAGATTGGAGTTTGGTGTTTTGTTTGTCAGCCTACGCGGTTACACACAACCATTTTTGCATTTGTTTTTGTTTTGTTCTTTTTTTTATTTCAGTAGTTTTAAAAATGTACAAACTTCACATCTGCCAGAAAGTAGTTGGATTATGTATATCTATCTGTATGTTAAAATATATACTTACTTTACTTGCTTAGTAATACATACGTTTGCTATATTTGTCATTCCCGTCACATCCATTGCCGAAACTTGCTCATAACTGTTTTATGTTTGGAAATAGAGAAATGTATGAATAACTCCATATACTTGCATGGCTATCATCAGTACACCATAACAGAGAATGTTTATAAAGGTAATGAAGTTACTAATCCTCAACTTAAAGCTTAAAGCGGGTTTCGAAATATAATGTAAATGGTGTCTAAATACGATAAATAATATCATCCACGTCTAATGTGTGTGTAAGTAACACATAAACAGTAGGGTACAATAGGTCTGATTGGTGATAATGGACATATTGTACAATATATATTATATCACACTTTGCTTCTAAAGCCATCAGTTTTCATATCTATTACACACTTCATATCTATGTTGGTCACAATAAAAGGTTGCATGAACCCATGTTCAGATCCATACATATGTATGCGACATTAATTCAAGTTCTTTCATTGATCATTTTCATTTCACTTATTAAAATTCAACCAATCATGCTATCTGTGATGTAATATCTGTTAAAGCGTTGAAGAAAATGATCAGGTCAGGGAGATATCATTGGATACGAATGGCTTATAAAGTTTAGGAAGATTCTGTAAAGTTATAACTGAAAATGATCAGTGAGATATCATTGAACAAGACAGAATTGGGTAAGTTTGATGAGTCGTATATCAAAATAACGAAATTGTTAAGTATATGGTGGGGGAAAAGTATATATATATACAGAGTATGGTCAGGAATAAAAACAATGTTTAAATTAATATAATGTCCTTAAAACCCAATTGACATAGATAATCATGGACATTATTTCTTTTTGAGGTCTGGATCAATCTAAACGTCATTCACTCATAGAGCTCGTCTTGTTTTACTGTCTTAAGTTTTCTTTACTTATCCTTCATTTTAGATATCTGAATGTTAAAGTACTTGTATTGAATTTATACTTCACTAATCCTGACATTGAAATGACCTTGAACAAAATGACAAATGAAGTCATTGATCTTTGATATCAAGGCTGATACTGTACATACAGCCACAATAAGGCCAGACAGGAATACCATTATGGTGGTAAGTATGTGTTTTGTGCTTAAAATTTATCAAGTGTACTAACGTCCTGATTCTTCACATGTAATTGCTTCTATTGGTTATGCTGATGGGATGACTGTTCCATCTGGTACCTCGACATATCGTAAATATTTCACGTAAACCCAGCAATCAGCATAACCAATTCTTACACGACAAAATTCGGATCGGTCTTTTTGACTAGGTTTAAGCACCTGGTCGTTTGATTAACAAGATTGATTTCAATTACAACAGACAACACTCCAAGAAATATATACATTATATTTTTTTGAATAGCTAAGTTATCTGTGCATAAATATACCCATGTCATAAATATCGAAAGTCACACGTGTAATAAGATTTAGTGATGTAATACCTGAATATCTGAACTCCTTATGGCTGCATTGGCTATAAAGACATCATTTTTGCACAAATTTATTGACCTTATTACAGTGAAATTTAAACCACAACGCCCAACACAACCTGTCCACCTTAACAGGAGATGTTCTAGTGAGGAAAAGGATCATACAAATCCTAGAAATACATCTTATTCTCTTAACACTACCATTATTTGATATTAGATTGATATACCCTTATTTTGATAGATTAAAAGACGACAAAGAAACTACCAGTGCCACACCGAAACAAAGCATTCAATAATTTTGCGGCTGTAGATAGTATTTTTTCAGAATGTTCAGAGTTGGAGGATCGTATGTTTCTGTTTATGCATAGATAGAACCTGTGACGCGGTCGACTGATGATTTTTATGAGAATGTTTTCATGCATAAAAATTAAATAAATGTATAACAGTATTTAGATGTATCTATTACATCCCCATGGTGTCGTGACTGTTTCGTATTTGGAGAAAAAAAGAAAGGAAAAAATACATAAAAAAAGAAGAAAAACAAGCAGAAACAAGAGATTTTTTTTTTACATTTCCTGGTTTTTTTTTTTATTAAACATAGAAACGTTTCATATCATATTCAAATATCATGATTTCAAAATATGTATTGAAATAACTATAAAATCAAATACAAACAAACTCCTGCCCTTTAATGAAAATATTTTCACATGAGCTGTACGTTCTTACATTGACTTCTACAAATGCTAGCTGAATACGACAATAATTTATCCACTATAAAGCCTATCCCATGCTTGTTACAGAATACACTACTCTCCATGACTGCTGTTCGTCGTCTCATCAAACAAAATTCGCGACGCTTCCTCCTCATCCAACGTTTCGAAAACTATAGGCGTCTTCATTTTCAGGAAGACAACTCTGTTGTGGGCATGTTCGGTAAACTCCAGCATGTTTATTTCTGTAGCGAGCCGGTGAGACGCCTCAGCATACTCCAGAGCCCGTACAGTATTACCTCGGCGGTACTGGTAATCACATTTGGCTAGCAGATAATGCACCTCTAGAATTTTTGGTATGGGAATGTTAGAGTCCTCTAATTTACGGAGGTAACCTCCTGCCAGTTCTATATCGTCAGAATCTGGATGGAGAACATCCATCGTCAAACCGCTATCCCCACACTGAAGAAGTAAAATCGTCAGTCTACACAGAGCGTATCCAAAGCCAAAAGGTCCATCTTTTCCACCGTCTCTTTCGAAATTGACTAGAGACAACTGAAAACTTCGTTTTGCCTGTGCATGAAGGTTTCTATATGAATTAATAAAGTTAGAACTATGCACATTGAGCATGCCTATCACAGCTGTCTTGTTTCTAGCGTCGTTCATGTACAACCAACCTGCCGCGCGCCCAGTACACCCCACCGGATCTGCTTCAATGATCATTTTAGCATCATCGAGTGTTCTCTGAAGTTTCTGGATTTTTTTCTGTGTAATGTACATGCGTGTTAGTGCCGTGAATAATTCAAGAGTGAAATATTTCGGATTACTTGTTTTCGGAACTAGATCCATTGCAGACGTGATATGCCTCTTGGCCGAGTCGAATTTTGTATTGAACAAGTCTTTGCTTGCATGTAAATATCCCAATATACACATCATGTCTGCATTATGATGGTATTTATGTTTTATTCCAATGGAAAATTGCTCAAACTTGTCATACTGTCCTTGGTTGATCATAGTGCTGAGCAGATTAAAAGCTACTTCTAGATGTTTGTTAGGAAGTGAAGCTGGATGTAAGGATCCCGGACTTATAGATAACGTGTATTCCTTTGCTGCTCTAGAACTTCCATGTGTATTTTGCCTAACACCCCATCCTTGTCTTTTACTTGATCGTCGTTGTTTTTGATACACTTCTTCACAGTATACGTCCTCCTCGGAATCGGTGGAATGTTGTTGTTGGATTGTTCGTCGTTTGTTTCTTTGAAGATTAGATTTTGACAAATGTTTTATTTGAGGTTTCGCTAAGGAAGAACTGTCCGCCTGTGATATTGATAAATGTTCAAGATCAAATGATACATCAGTAGAACACGACATGGTAGTGACATCTTCACCTGAACCCTGTGGTCTCATTAAGGATGCCGCAGTCTTGTCGTATATGCTGTCAGGAATATCCGAAACAAATTCTTCTTTAAAAGTAAGAGGAATCGCTAGCGCAGTTTGTTCTAACGTTGGTTTGTATTTAGTATGTAGACAGTTGCACTGTATTGCGTCAGTTTTATACAATGTTGTCTCTTCATTAGAGTAAGGTAAGCAATCATCTCGGTTTCTTTTAGCACTATTTGTAACCTCATGTACGGATGAATCGTAAACTGAATTGTTGTAAGTTGTTGCCATCGTGCTATCGACGTCATTCAGTGATGCTTCTGAAATACTGTCCATTTGTTCTATGATAAATCCGTATTTCATCTGTAGTGACATCTTAAATACCGTCGAAACATTACCACTTTTGCATTTTGATATTTCTTCAAGAAATGCAACAAATCTTTCCTTTCGCGTTTTTTCTGACCTAATTCTGTCACATTCGTCCCTATCTAGCACAAATTCCTGGTAATGCCAGTCCAAAATATCGCATGGCTCTACATTGCTTAACAGTAAACAACAGTTTCTCTTCAGTAATGTTGAAAGTTCTGGATCTGAAAATTCACTCGGAAATAACGATTCACATTTTGAACACGCACTGATTTGTTTCAGTAGTAGCGTATCTTTGTCTACACAACTATCCCCAGTCAAGTCATATTTATCGACGTCAAATGACATATCTAAATGTAACAATTCTACTAAATGAGGGTAAGTGCTCTTCTCTAACGCCCGCTGGAATGACCCATATGCCATTGGGCCTCGCGTCGGGAGCATAGCTAGAAGAACCCTACATCGCTCTTTCCGGGATTTTCCCGTGTTCACATGTTCGTAATCATTTTCTGTTAGAATTCCGTCATCGACCAAGGCATCAAGGACATCTTTTGGATCAAGGTCGTCAACAAACCTGACCTGGTTTCGTCGAAGAGTATTTTCTTGTATCGTATCCATAGTTACATGCACATCCTGTGGGAGAGTAAATAACACATTCAAACAAAAGGTCTTCTTCTGACTGTATGTATAAATATTACATCTAGTTTTCCTGAACACAATTTATAAAAAAATGCCTTTCCAGTGTATTTTGTATGTTTATTGTGTTTCATTTTGAGTTGATATCTACCAAATGAACAGTTTGTTGTAGAATATTTAACGTCTCACTTGATTGTTAGTATACTTCTGCAGTCGGTTCATTAGTCTTTTGCCTGTATACGTTAATGTAACAAACTGAAACAAGATGTTATTTGTCTGTACTCCTTTAAATATTTCTGAATTTATCTTGATCCTTCCGTAAAAAGGAAAATTTTAATCACGTATCAGCAGCTTGGAGAATTATATAAGGTATGTAATAATACCAGACACTTAATTATCGTATCAGTACATTATGATAAGTAAAACCTAATTACAAAGAAATGTGGATCATTCTGTAGCTCTAAAAACATTTCATTAGGAAAAATAAACATTATGGAAACGATTGTGGATTTCTTTCTATCTCTTCCTGTATTTAGTGTTGATAAATATTAATTAGAAATATCTCTATTATTAGTGAAAAAATATACGTCAATAACAAATTACCGAATTTAATATCATCCACGGTATTATCAATAAAATAGTATCTTATATTCAATCCATTAATCATAAGTGATACAGTATCGAATATATTTCAATTCTATTATTTCTATTAAAATACTACTGATTTTTTAACGACAGGACAGTATCTAGCGTTTGACTACAGAGCATTACAAAGGCTGTAAAACTATGAAATACCGGTATTAGGTCCCGGCTGTGTGACCTTTGAACTGTCAAAAAGAAATTGAAGAAGTGGGTGTTCATACCAGAACGGTCATTGCTTGAACTCGTTGTAGTGTCAAGTCGTCGCTATTTTTAGCGCAAGAAGCTGATATATTTATCAACGTGTAGTTCAGTGTTTTCCAATATATAGTGCGAAAATCTGTTAGTTTTTTCTATCAATAAACAATACACTGTCCATATGGTTGCATCTGTTTAGATATAATACAACGACAATGTCGTCTAACACACATGCCGAAACAATGATGTACAGTAAAAAGGGAGTCTGAACATGACTTTATATAGAGCGAACAGGGAAATGAGTAAACAGACAAAACATAAATATATTCATCAGCCTACGTACACACATACAGCCGAGATACATAAAATGTTACAGATAAAATCCAAACATGTTACGATGTGGGCTATAAACACTTGGATATAATGTGTCATATCTGTCCGGGAAGTAAAGCTGTATCGTCGTCACGCCATGTTAGTGTTACAGATATAGGCTGTGTATTGTCATATGTAAATTTGGTTATAATAAGGACCAGATATTACTTACTGTTAACGCTCTCAGTCAGTGATCGCTATACCAAGACATCTTACGCTCCAATACTTTCTATCATAACGGTATAGGCTTTAAGGGAACTGCTTGTGTTTTCCCGGAAGTTTGGGGATTTCCTATAAAATATATATATGACGTGTCAGTGAATAGTAAGGATTGGAGTAGCTGTTTATAGTTCAAATGCTGACAGAAATACCAGGTCACGTGTTAATGTATAGTGTGTATTGATATATATATATGTGTGACCCATACCTACACAATATATATGTAAACGGGAGTGTTTTTATAGACGGCTTTACAGTCTTTCTCGTATATGTCTCGTATATGTTCATATTTCTTACCTAAATTATACTTTATATTAATATGTGTTTATCATTGATAGGCAACAGACATGAACAATACACTTACCTGTATATATATGAAGGGCTGTACAAAAGAAACACATGTGAGTAGCACTGCTTAATGCAAATTTAGAATTAGATACTGTGTAGCCGCCATGCAATCGCCCTTATAAACTTTTGAGACGTATTGAGCAACCGAAGAAAATTAAAATCGGTGAAAATGAATGTTAAAAACAGATGTGGAAGTAACCCCATACCTAGAAAAATATCTAACAATTTCTAAAGAACGGCCACTACTTGTTTATTTCTAACCATGCCAATATTTGAATGAATGTGACTTTCATGTTACAGCAAACATAGTGGAATGACGTCTAGCCATACGCGTATCAAAGACATATATTTTCGATACTATTTCAGAATAAGTCAAGAGTAGCACCAAAACTCAAAATTACATCGTACAGTTGTTAAGGCTTCGTCAGTAGTACGTTTTTGGTACACTTTAGCAGTATGTTACATGTTTACATATCTTAAAGATCTCGTATGGATGAAATCCTTCCAGATCTCTAATTTCCAATGAGTACAATCGCTGGACATTGCTAAAAATAATGAATAGGGACATGATGTATAGAGGAAAGTAAAAAATTTAATTAAAAGTCAAAGTAAATTATTAAATACGTCACGGGATGTGGTATGATCTAAAGACACAAACATAAACAGATATATCCTCTCATCTTTCAAAACTCGGGAAAATTGTTATCAAAACGTACAAATAACATTTTAATAGAAAATCGTAGTACTTCGTTACATCAATTGATTCACTTTGTAAGAATATAATGCTTAAGCCGTATCTTAAGCAATATTGACCTGTGTCATATTTATCAAGAGTCATAGCTTGTACAGTGAATCATAAAAAATCGAACCATTTTTGTTTTACCAATTGTCAAAGCTAAATCAGATTCCATTATGCTAAATGTTGAAGAATTCTACTCTACAGAATTTGAATTTCTACTAAATAATTTACAGATTTTATTATAAAAAATCTCCAGATCGTTTGGGATTCAGTTCTGATACTATTACAGTTTTCAGTATTCTAGCAGGATAATACAAGAACTGTGGTGACATTAGAGTAATGGAGGTGTGAAGACAAAACGAAAACAGAAGACGAAGCTGTAATTAGATATCATACTGCATTGGCAGGTCTTCAGGATTACCAAGATGGTGCCATCTAATCATTTATATGAACTGTTAACAGATCAGTTGCAATTATATACACAGAACGCAATTTTAAAATGAAATTGTCAGTTACTTTTCACAAGATAACCATGTTTCTCATTATCTAAAAACACATCCAAAGTCTATTATTTACTGATCTTTAATCACTACGGCTATCAATAAGACATTGTACAAAAAATAGTTGATCATGCCATGTAAACAAGCTATAGACAGTCGTCTTTTCTCATCTCCAAACTCGTCACAATTATTTCATACATTCGGCCCTTTAGCGAGTTGACATTTTATCGGTATTCATTCCGTGTGAACAAAATCACACTCAGAATTCATAATCCATGAAATAAGGGCAAAACATCTATACAAGCTAGGTTTATGCAGAGAATCTGGTAAAAAATATAATAATGACATGTTCCGGAAGGATAATTGTCATCCACAACATTCACCTTGCTTATCTTGGTCAATTCAGTTAAGTAGTGGCACGTCCTCAAATAAGAGCAATGTTAACAACATAAAACCAGCCATGTATACTAACGAGCACTGAGCATGTTTTAATTAACATAGAACAAATAAATGGATCATTTTCTGCAGAGCTCATTGTGCGGCGTTTATAAAACTGTCCCACAATCGCCAGCAACCTAAATCTCTCAAGGATCTGTGTGGTAAATTTATCTGTTATTTGTGGAAATTTTGCAAAGAAATAATGATCTTGGATCATTGGACCTTAGATCGGGAAAGAAATACTGTTACTATCTAGAAATGGAATATTTACACTATACCAATCTCACACTAGCCTATATAATGCAGCAATATTTACAGCAGATATTATTCCTAATTCCAGGATTAACTTCAATTGTCTCGTGTTGTAACCGAAATTTACTATCTAATTTCCTGTTTATGCACAAAAAACGAGCATCCTATCCCATAACTACACGAGTAAATACGTAAAAATATAGCATGGGCATATTCATTGAGAAAAACGGCAATCGTGTGTCTAGTTATATAGCCTAAAGCGTATCAACGAAAACTATTAAAAAATGAGGCAGAACATCTTCAGACAAGAGTTTTCACATGGAAAAAAACAACTAAAAGAGCAATAACTCTTCGTAATCAAGATTCTTTTCAAGAAAACACAACGAGATGTCCTTCTTATATAAAGTCTGTCCAATATTATTTATTCATTTTCATAAGAGTCCAAGCAAAATGTAGCTCGCAAGAATAGCTTCGTGCCATGTTGATGTTCAAAGCCTAAATCCGCACCGAATGAATGTAGCAGTAATGCATTTGGTTAAAACATAGGAGACTTTTGATGAATAAAAGCTTACTACAGGCAACACTTTTACAAAAATTAAGAAGGGATAGGTAAATAATTTCCGATAAATTAGGAGGCAATTGATCCAGTTTAAGAGAACATGAATAAAAAATTGGCAAAACTTCAAATAGATTGAAATGACAATTTTTTTAAACCAAGATAAAACATATATGTGCCACCTTGTAATTGGCAGTCTTTTGACATTTATCTAACGTGTGAGCATTAAAACTGATCTGAATTCAAATAAGATACCAAGAATGTTTATACTGACAGCTATGTCTCTTTGTGGAAACAAATAAACTGGCTTTGTATAAAATTTGTTTTCATATATCATCTTGATCAAGTAAACAACGTTTAAGCAGATCAATGTCACTCTATATAATTTTTCAACTGTATTCAAGTCAAATCAGACTTTAAGTGTCAACAGCATATATTGTTGATTTGAGTAACAATGAAATACCGCTGAAAAGGCTTTAGATAATATGCTAAAGCATGTATGCTCGTCTAATATAACAATTAGCAGGTAACTTGTTCAAGCCGTATTTGGGGAGTTTAGGGTCTACGTTCTAAGGTTTTGTTAATCTAATCGTTTACCAACGAACAGCTGACCAGACAAGGTTGCCAGGTTTGTAACAAGTTAACCTGTCACGGCAAAGGAATACCAATACAATGTACTCGACTATCGAGAATACCCTTCTCCAGATATCAGTCCTCATCT